AGCCCTCCAGCCTGGGAGGTGCGGGGGCTCTGCCCTGGCCCCGCTGTCGTTTGCTGGGTGAGAGCAAAGCCGGCCATGTGTGCACCCCAGGGGTGCAAGGGGGGGCATGGGTGCTGCAGGCCAGACTCTGGGGCAGGTGGGGGCTTGGGGAAGGAGGTGAGGGCCGGCCCAGGCTCCCTGCTCTGTCCAGGGCATCCAGGGACACGGCTCAGCCCTTATCCCTACCAGAGCATCCCCCGGGTAAGGGGTTGGTGCTGTTGAAATGCTGGAGGCTGGGTGCCCCCGTACCCAGTGCCCTGCCCTCCCTCTGCCCTGGTGACACCCCCAGGGCAGTGGCTCCGTGTGCTGCCCCTCCCCAGTGCAGGGGTTTGGGGTTGGGAAGCACTGGGGCAGCTGAGAGCTTTGCTCCTCTCCATGTCCTCGTAAGGGCTCTGTGTCTGTCACCCCCAAATTGCCGCCATGGGCTCCCATCCACACCGGCCTGCACAAGGGAGCAAGGGTCAGTGGGTCCCCTTGACAGGGACATCACGAGGCTGTGGCAGGCAGTGACATGGAGCCTGTGGTGCCAGGACACCCCTGACCACAGCCTGCCCCCTCAGGCGTGACAGGGACCCGGGGCTGGCAGGGACAGCAGTGCCTGGCACCATCTTCCCGCGCTGGCTCATGTCCCCTGATGGAACCCAGGGGCAGGAGCTGGGGCTCTCCAGCCCAGGGACAGCCCCAGTGCAGGGACGTGCTGTGCCACGTGCCCGGCTGGCACAGGAGGAGCGGCTGGGCTGCAGCTCTGCACTGCGCCGCTGCCACCCCAAAGCCACCCTAAAGCCACCCCAAAGCCACCCTGTCCCCGTCCCTGTGGGTGTCACAGCCCCAGGATGGGCAGCACCTAGGGGTCTGTGCTGTGCTCCCCAAGCTGGAGCCAACCCAACACCAGGGCTCAGGGCTGAGCTCTTGCTGGCCAGATCTGGGTCACGCCGTGTCCCCTGGGGTGGCTCCAGCGCCGTGTCCCCAACTGGGGACCCTCATCCTGCCCAGGGCTGGGGCAGGGCTGCAGCTGGGGAGCACCGCTGAGCCTGCTGCCCCCGCCCCCAGCTGGGGGGTGATTGCCTTAATTAGAGCAGTTTCATTAGTGCAATTAAAAAGCAGCAGTCGCCTGGAGAGCATTGGAGCGACACATTGGCTCCCAGGGAGCTGGGGGGCTGTTTTCCTCCTGTGGTGGGGGCAGACTGGGGGGTCCCCCTACCTGGTGAGTCCCTGGGGATGAGGGACATGGGAATGCACAGCCTGGGCAGGGACAGGAACATCCCTGGGGCAGCAGCAATGCAGGACATGCCCAGAGCAAGGCAGGTGAGACTGGGCACCAGGGAGCCCATGCTCCACCTCTGCCCATGCCCAAACACCCCTGGCTGCCCACCCCAGCTGGCGCCTTTGGCTCCTGCACCCCAGGTTTGTTCTCCTGAGGGTGGCCTCCCCAGAACCAATTATGTGGGCACTGCCCCACTGACTCCTGCCCTGGTAGCATCTGAGTGCCCCTCTCTGGGCACTTCTACCCCAGCTGGGGGCACAGAGGGTGTCCCCCCTTGCCCGAGCCACGTCCCCAGCTGGGCACGGGTGTGATGCTGCTTCCCACACGGGGAGCAGGGCCCGTGGGTGCCGGGGGTGCCAGCGCACCAGGGATTCCTCAGGGCTGGCCGGGTGCCAGGCTCCGGGTTTGGCACAAACAACAGCAGCCCCAGCGACGGCTCCCCAGGGCCCCGGGGATCCTCGGAGCCGCCGCTCGGCTCCCGCAGCCGCCGCCCCCGGCTCAGGCAGGGGAACACGTGCGCCCGCCGCAGCCCGGCCCTGCCAGCGAGAGGGGGAGAGGGGGGCTGCCGGCAGCTGCTGCCTGGCAACTGGGCACGGCCCCCTCCACATTCCAGAGGTGGGGGCTCTTCTGGAGCTTGCAGCTGCACCGAGATGTGCAGAGCTCCGTGCGCTGTGCCAGGGGCATCTGTGCCCCCGCTGCCGTGCTGTGCCCCTTCTGTGTGCCCGCCTGGTGGGTGCAGCCCTGCCTGGCTGGGACCCGGTGTGCGGGGTGCTGGCAGCCACCGCCGTGCTCTCCGTGCCCTCCCCATGGTCTGGCGGTGGCAGCAGGAAGAGGCTTTGAGGTGCCTCTCTTGGGGGAGGTCAGGGGTGGGGCTGCTCTCTCAGAGTCAAACGTTGGCTGCTTTCTGTGTCGGGAGCTGCACATCTGTGGGAGAGCATGGTCTGGCCACCCCAGTGATCTCAGAGCCTCATTCCTTCCTGGCAGGCTGACATCGAGCAGCTGGACCCCCGAGGACGCACTCCCCTGCACCTGGCCACCACGCTGGGCCACCTGGAGTGTGCCAGGGTGCTGCTGAAGCATGGCGCCGACGTGGGCAAGGAGAACCGCAGTGGATGGACAGGTGAGCGAGGGGCTGCTGCCCTCCATCCTCCTGCAAGCTGCCCTGGTGCAGACATGGACACGGAGATGGGCGTGGGCATGAGCATGGACACAGATGTGGGCATGGACACGGGCACAGGCATGGTAAAGCTCCCCAAGGCACTGCTCACCTGGTGCTCTGTCCCTGTGGCTGCTGTGCAGCGCCCAGCTCTGCAGTGCCATCTGTGCCACGCTGTGCCACGGCCCTGGGCACTGCCTCTTTGCCCCCCAGTCCTGCAGGAGGCTGTGAGCACCCGTGACCTGGAGCTGGTGCAGCTGGTGCTGCGCTACCGCGACTACCAGAGAGCCATCAAGCGCCTGGCGGGGATCCCGGTGCTGCTGGAGAAGCTGCGCAAGGTACCTCGCTCAGAGGGGCTGTGGGGCTGCGGCCAGGGCTGCCCCTGACCCCTCCCCGCTCTCCACAGGCCCAGGACTTCTACGTGGAGATGAAGTGGGAGTTCACCAGCTGGGGTGAGCTCGGGGCACAGCGTGGCTGTGGGGGGAGTGGGAATTTCCCAGCAGAGTCCCCCAGCATCCATCCCCAGGTTAGGGCTCACCTGCCCCCTTTGCCCCCAACACCCCAAGCTTGCAGACCCTCATCCTGCCAAGGCATTGCATTCCCCAGGTGTGTCCCCCGCCCAGCTCAGCCCCCTCGGGGGTGCAGGTGTCCCCATCCCTGGCTGGGCTATTGGCATCTCTCCCCAGTGCCCCTGGTGTCCAAGATCTGCCCCAGCGACACCTACAAGGTGTGGAAGAGTGGCCAGAACCTGCGGGTGGACACCACGCTGCTGGGCTTCGACCACATGACCTGGCAGCGGGGCAACCGCAGCTTCGTCTTTCGGGGACAAGGTGAGGTGACCCTGCCGTGTCCCCGTCCCTGGGGAGCGGTCACACGGTGGGGACCGTGGCTGTGCTGACCCCATTCCCTGCAGACAGCAGTGCGGTGGTGATGGAGATTGACCACGACAGGCGGGTGGTCTACTCAGAGACGCTGGCTCTGGCCGGCCACGACCAGGAGGTGCTGCTGGCTGCTGTGCAGCCCACCGAGGAGCAGGTGATGGGGCGGCTCACGGCCCCCGTCGTCACCACCCAGCTCGACACCAAGAACATCGCCTTCGAGAGGTGGGCTGGGGTGGCCCAAGCCCACCCCTGGGTGCTGGCACCCCAGACTGTGTAAGCAAGTTCATGGTGCTGTGTCACCCTAGGAACAAATCCGGGATCCTGGGCTGGAGGAGCGAGAAGACGGAAATGGTGAATGGGTATGAGGCGAAGGTGAGGGGCAGGGAGCTGAGCTGCCCAGGGGGGTTGTAGCTGCCCACTGGGTTGTAGCTGTGAGGTGCCCACCTGTGCCATCCCCCCTCCTTGGCCAGGTCTATGGCGCTTCCAACGTGGAGCTGATCACACGGACACGGACCGAGCACCTCTCAGACCAGCACAAGGGCAAGAGCAAAGGTGGAGCCAGCACGGGCTGGGTGGGCAGGGCACCCCCGGCTCTGCCCTCACCCCCGACTCTCCCACAGGCTGTAAGACCCCCCTGCAATCCTTCCTGGGCATCGCTGAGCAGCACGTGGGGCCCAACAATGGGGTGAGTGTCTCAGGGGTTGGAAGGGGTGGCCCTGCAGTCAGACCTCCCCTCTCACCCCACGGGCTGTGCCCCCGTGCAGACGCTGATCACGCAGACACTGAGCCACGCCAACCCCACTGCCATCACCCCCGAGGAGTACTTCAACCCCAACTTCGAGCTGGGCAACCGGGACATGGGGCGGCCCATGGAGCTCACCACCAAGACACAGAAGTGAGAGGGGGAGCAGCAGGCAGGGACTCCCTGTGTCCCCCCCTCCACTGCTGCAGAGCTCAAGGGGGGGACCGGTGGGGTCCCCAGCCCAACGTCCGTCCCTGGCAGGTTCAAGGCGAAGCTGTGGCTGTGTGAGGACCACCCGCTGTCCCTGTGTGAGCAGGTTGCCCCCATCATCGACCTCATGGCAATAAGCAATGCGCTCTTCGCCAAACTGCGGGACTTCATCACCCTGCGCCTCCCGCCCGGCTTCCCCGTCAAGATTGGTATGGACTGGGCTCTGCTGCTGACCTGGCTGGCACAGCCAGCTTCCCTCCTCGTGTTTTTTCCCTTTTCCTGCAGAAATCCCCATCTTCCATATCCTCAACGCCCGAATAACCTTCGGCAACCTCAACGGTTGTGACGAGCCAGTGAGCTCCCTGCGGCACAGCCCCAGCAGCGAGGCGCCCTCGCCCAGCAGCGACTCCTCCAGCGTCAGCAGCTCCAGCTCCCTCAGTATGTGGGGGACACGGTGAGGTGGGATGGGAAGGGGTCCCACTGAGGGTACAGCTGGTGGGTCACAGCAGGGTAAGGGTGCATAACTGGCGGGTGGAGTAGGGTAAGGGTGGGTGGAGTAGGGGGACCCCATGGGTGCCCAGCCTGGCCAGCTCTGCTGTCCCCGCAGCCTCGTGCCGAGCGTGCGAGATGGACCCGGCGCTGTTCGAGGTGCCGCGGGGGTACAGCGTGGTGGGCACCCACCAGGACGCCCTGCGGGAGGACGAGGATGACCTGCTGCAGTTTGCCATCCAGCAGAGCCTGCTGGAAGCGGGCAGCGAGTACGACCAGGTGGGCACTGCCCCCCTTCACCTACTCCTGGCTGAGGGACCCCACTCCCCGCCCCATCCCGATGCCACCTGTGATCCTCACTCACCCACCCCTCTCCATGCCTGCATGCTATGGTGGTGGGTCAAAATTCATGCTGTGGGAGCTGTTTTTTGGGGTGCCACCCTCCAAGCACTCCTCTTTCCGGCCACAGGTGACCATTTGGGAAGCACTGACCAACAGCAAGCCGGGCACCCACCCCATGTCGCACGAGGGCCGCCGGGGAGACAGGTTGGTAAGGTCTGGCCACCCCCCTGGGAGGGAATGGGTGTGGGGGTGCCCAGCCACG